TGGAGCGAAAGCTGCTTGTGAGCAAGTGTTCGTAATTTTATTTTACGTAAAGCGCCATTAATTGATGCGCTAACGCTGCATGGTCGAAGTGCGAGCGGCTTGCGAGCTATCCAGCGCGCTGTACACTGACTGTATGCGTTCTCTAGGTACGACCGGCGTGGCGTCGGTGGAAAACCTGCGAATGGTCGGTTTGCGCACAGCGTGAGTGGTGCAAACGATTTTGTACATGACGACATTGCCTTGCATGCCGGACCCATCCTTGTGTATAGAGCCCAACGACGTGAAGCGAGTCCACTTGCAGTATTTGGATGCCATGTAGAAAGACTTGTGGGTCCGGCACATCGTAACATGGTGGTGATGTGGTTTTTAACACAACTGGTTACACACGTCTTTCAATGCGACCTTTGAAGAAAAAGAAGAAACGTGCGCAGCCTAGGTCTGCGAGAGAAGATGAGGATGTTGAGGATGTAAAGGGCAAGCTGGCTCCTTGCCTGATTTCTCGCGTGAGTGCATTGTTTTCTTACATTTTATGGTGCCGAAAATCCCGTGCGGAATGCAACCCCTTCTACGCACGACTTAGCGAACTTGTACTCGTCCACATCGCGTCGTTGTTGGTGAGGATCGACCGACCGACGAGTGCTTCGCTGATCGTTACTGGAGGAGACGGGTGCCTGCCTACTCGCAGCTGAAAAGCCTGCATCGTGAATAGTCTCAAGGCCAAGCGGGCAGCTCGACGTGCACAGAACACCAAGCTACTGCAGCAGGTCCGAATGTTGATCAACGATCCCAACGCCGACATCGCCAAGCTCACAGGTATTCTCGACCGCCTCAGTGGGAGTAATGTGGAACTATCAAGCTTCAATGCCACTCTCGAAGAACACATTCCTGACGACAAGCTTGAGGTAGAATATAGCATTGCGGAAGAGTACAACGACCAGGCGATAGGTATGCTCGCTGAATTACGCTCTCAGATCACCGCTTTAGGACGTGTTAGAAGCCAGACGCAAGCAGCAGCAGCAGCTAAGACTACCACTATGGCTGAAGCTAATGCTCAAAGAACGACTGTACAGCTAAATCATCACGCGAGAACTTCTACCGGCTTACGACTTCCTAAACGCACCCTTCCGAGGTTTAACGGCCAAATTCAAAATTGAACAGGAATTTGGGAGCAGTTTGAGCAGACGGTTCATCGCAACGAGACATTCTCCCAGACAACGAACTATTACTACTTACGTGATTGCCTTGTGGCACAAATAGCGTAATTTATCGTGGGACGACCAACCTCAGAATCATGCTATGCACACACCATTCAAATTTTGAAGGAAAGGTTTGGAGACCAGAAGAAAATAGAACAGTACCACCTGTCAGCCTAAAAAAACTTACCTCATATCATGTCGAGAAATGATGTAAGTAATCTTCGGAAGTAGTTTGACGCCGTGAAACTGCGTATTCGTTGCCTGAAAGCTTTAAACGTACTGACACTCAGGTTTTCTTCAATGCTTGTCGATATCCTGTGCAACGCCTTACCGGGTGACATTGTCAATCGTTCGTACGCGAAAAACAAAGAGAAGCACTAAGAATTCCTGCCATTGAAGAACCTGTGGGTAATGTTTCGTAAGAGGCACTTGTGACCGCGTTTTAAAAAGGTGAGCTGAATGACCTGCTCCATTTCACAAGAGTGGAATCGAGAAGCCGAGAGCAGTGCTTTACGATGCCTAGAGAGCGCAAGAAAAACGTTGAAAAGTTTAGAGACCGCAGAACCGCGTCGGTGTTTCATACCACTTCTGAGGCAGAATGTGAAAAACGCTTCTTTTGCAGATCAGATAAGCACAGAACCCATACTTGATACTCCGACATTTCTCTCGAGTCGAAGAAGCTACAGCTAAGAAAGGACAATCGTTGCTTCAAGTGTACATCCCGAAGCCATCAGGCCTGGTCCTGCCATGTGAAGCTCAATTGTTCACTTTGCCACGGCAAACATGCCTCAAGAATGTGTGATCCAAACTCTAAGAAGCATGAAGGTACACTAATATTTACAGCATGAGACCACTTGTGTCAGCCAACGCTGTACTGCGACATGATGAGCCGTCGTGCATTCTATCGAAGACGGACAACGGAGTATATCTTCAGATATTCTGTGCTTGGGCAGGTCACAATGATAACTGCAGATACATGATGGGTATACTGGACGGTGGCAGTCAACGGTCATTTATCAAGGAAGATCTCGCCACTAAGCTACAACTCAAGGTCGTTCGGCAGACCAGAATCGCCTTTAACATTTTCGGAAGAACGACAACTTCCAGAGCTCAAAAGCTCAAGGTTATGAAAGTGCCTCTTCATTGCTAGCATAACTCGCAAGTTTGCATTGTACAAGCCATCACAGTGGCATTTATTTGCCACGACGTTTGTACATCGTTTGACGACAACAAATTCGTGAGACAGCTGCGAGTTGAAAGAACATTCATCGCTGAGAAACCATGCTTCTTTGGAGCAGAGGCTGAACCCGGGCTGCCTTTACTCATCTTGTCAAATAACCTCTGAAAGATATTGACCGGAGAATTCTCGCGCAGAACAGATACCCGTGGTTTGTCGCCGTGAATTCACTATTTGGATACACTTTCCAAGGACCCGCCCAGCAAGCGCTATCCACCGCAAGATGTGAATTTCATCATCCGTGCACTACACGTGAGTAGCCAGCCTGACGACGAAGTGGACTCACAGAGATCACAAACTTCTGGGAAACTCGGAGCAGGTGGTATCATGGGTCAAAGTGACTCTGCACAATTCAAGGCTTTCGAGGCACTCCGCCAGACAGCAGACAAATCGCATGAGAGGTGTATGATTGAGTCACCGCTGAATGAAGATAATTATAGGAAACCCCTCACTCGACTACCGAAACAAGATGCAATACTTTTTCTAAATGGACTGCTCTGGCGATACGACGTGGACACAACAAAATATATTTACTCGGACACGAGGACTTGGTGCCTAAAGATGTTCTTGAGGGCCACCATGTCTAGGGTATAACCCACAGAAAAGTTACACAAGAATCGCTGGCTGCAAAGCTGAGCGCAGTTGATGCATCGTCTCATACACCGGCTTCACCGTCTCGCAATCACTTTCTGGGCAAAATGGATACGTGCAAGGGTTCTAGATAACTAGATCAGCCAAGGTCAAGATGGCCTGCTAAAGCAGACGAATACCCTACTTCCGACAAAAACGTCCCGCCAACGTGTGAACAAACGGCCCTTTTCTTCATACAAGAGAACACACGCCAATGTGCTCCTCCCATTTTCTGGCAGGATTTTCACTGACTGCTTTTTCAGGACCACATAGCTCTGAATATGATGCTAGATGCACACAAGCAACAACGAGCAACCTTACTAAGAAGCTGAGGTATCGAGAAAAACTGCTTATTCACCCGTCAATGCGATGGAGAAAGAAGTACTTGTAGGAGCTGCAAGCCCTTCACCATTATCTATCTCGCATTACTGCGATACAAAAGTAGACTACATCGTGCTTGCCGAGCAGCCATTTGTTTCAAGGTGCATCTGGCCCCTTGACTGTGTGGTACAGGTTTTTCCGGTCAAGACGGTGTAGTACGGGCTTTTGAATCAAGACGAAACAAGGCAACATTCAGCGGCGACCAGTACAGAAGCTCTATTAGGTAGAGATAGCCTGCAACTCCTTGGGGCGGGAGCATGTAGAGAATGAATAAACGTGCGCAGCCTAAGTCTACGAGAGAAGACGAGGAAGTTGAGGATGCGAAGGGCAAGATGGCTCCTTGTCTGAGTTCGCACGTTAGCGCATGGTTTTCTTACAACCTTCGTTGGAGTACGAAATATACGGGGTCTTACGGCTCATATGTATGCTCTGATAATGAACCACACCTAATGTATACACGTGAACAAAACCCAACGTGTGATGTTCTATAACTTACCACTAAATCTATGCTCACCTATCTTCAATTCGCTTTCGCCTAAGTTTTGTTGCTAAGGCTGAAAATTGAACTTGTGCGCTGAAGCGTACAATTGTGAAAAATTACCTACTAAACTACCTTTGCGTCTCACGTTAGAAAACTGCTGTTGAGCGTACAGCATGCTGTCAATATTTTGTTTCTGAATATTGCAAGTTCCAGCCAGCATATGTCCGCGTCAAACGGAGAAGTGTGAAAAATATGATTTGCCCAGAGAAGCACTCTGTCGTTAGGCAAGTTGTGAAAATGACAACGCGATGTAGCATGGTGGTAGAAAGAGATTTGACAATTGGGTTTAGATGTATTTTATCATTCGTAGTATTTATTTCCAATGGTCACTGCAAACCATGTGCATAAGATGCTTCTAAATGTGCAGTCGTAAATCATGTGTTGTACGCCACGTACGAGGAACAGCTCGCTGATATCACTTCCGTTAGGGCAATGACACCAATAAATTGTACATGAATTGATGCCATAGAAAAACTAGACTATATATTCCCGTTGTATGGTTATTGAAAGCGCAACTTGACGACAAATATTATAGCGCGAGCTTAAAACGACGACGAAAGGACAAACAGACGAGCCCTGTTCTGAGCTTGCACTATAATAATCGTCATCAGTTACCGACTTGGCCAAACCACCACGCAACTTCAAGTTTCGCACACTTTCAAATCGATGGGCCAGTAACTAGCTGTTACGACGCTAAACTATGAATTTCTTGAAAGAATCATTCTAGATATTAGATATGCATAACAAATGTAATATTACCTGACATGCACACAAATATTTCTTATGCTTTTGATCATCACTTGCTGAGCATCTGCAGTGTTTTATTGTTGAAAGCGGTTTTAGCTGTTTTTGCGTAATCCTAACTCTTCCTCCTATGTATATTCACCACGCAGCACATGCTGTTATATAACTCAATATTTTCATTCGTTTCAAAATATGAAATAAATTCGTCAAGTAAACTAAAAAAGTTGAGACGAAACGCAAGATTTATTTGAAACATGGAAAAGCTACTTACTAAGCTCCTGGTTATTCCGACCAACATGAACTTTATTCTTGGCTCTCTCATGTCCAGATACCTTAAATTGACCTAATGGAGGAGTCATCGCTTGGTTAACATTACAAAGAAAGGCAAAACAATTCCTTACCCTGGATGAAAAATACGCCATGTTTGCACGCAGCACGCAGTAAAGTCACGGCAAAAGCTGAAGGAGTGGCCTTTCAGAGTGTTTTCTAAACACACTTTGGGTAACTCCGACAAGCACATTTGCCGGATACCCACTAGGCCTTAGATATTCATAATTTGTGTGTAGTAGGCCAGCATTCACTATGCTCTGAGCACAAAAACACCATTCACAACACCTGTTCAAAAGGAATCATTAGTCTGTAAGTCTTACTAGTTTGACATTGAGCTCTCCTCATTACTCAAGGAAAATGTGTATGGTATTTTATACCAAACTTCAATCCTTCAGAAAATAGTTACTGCTGCCAGGACTGTAAGGATGATATAAAATGCAGTTTCAGGCTACGTTCAGTACCTTTCATGGTTTTCTAAAGCGAATTTCTTCAGACGTTAAAAGCAAAGCTTTTCTTCAATTCCTATTTTGTTTTTTTTTTAATTTTTCTAGCTAGACGTTGTCGCAAAGTGCCAATATTTATTGTTAACATTTACTGAACGTAGAACTACTCGAAGTTTTACCATTTTTCAATTACAATATATATTCATGCTGAAAAACGTATGTCAAAATATTGAAGCTGCTGATACCCACTTTCTTTTTTATTGATTTTTTCACCTGTACATGTCTGCACCCCGGAGGATGGGGTAATAATCTAGTGAAAAAGGGTAGTCATTGCCATGTAACGGTGACAACAACTCTTCGTTAATTTTGTACTTCAACAGATCAAACAGAATTCTACAATAAACACCTAGACAGGTCTCAACAACTGACTAGAAACTGCATGACGAGCTCACTGCTGACTTTATTGGGATTTATATGTGATTGTTTCACCGTGGCTCCAATGCATATACATTTTTAGCGTAAGCTAAGCAGACCAGGCGTTAAAATTCTTCACACCTCCAAATATTGTTGCCTACTAACAGCATGAGAAATAGCTATGCTAAGTTCTCGCCATCTCCTTTTTTGACCTACTGTGCCAATCCGAATATGCGCATGACATCTTGACACCTGTATCGTTTACAATATGCACATAAAATTTCAGCACTTGTGTAAGCTACATACCAAATGTTCAGTCACTTAAAAGACTTCGTTCTTTGCCCTTTCAAGTACATGGAAAAATTATATACCTAGTTTTCTTGTGATTCATTGTATTTTACAATATAATATTGCACTCAAAACAACTCGGAACTAAACTTCAACCTCTGAAACCATTTGTTGGCTTGCTGTGGTTGAAGTCAGTGTGATGTGTAATAATATATCTTTTTACTAGATGATGCAAGTACTGATATGCAAGAAGCCACGGAGGAGAATGACCACAACGCTGAATATCAAAAGAAAAATGACTTTGGAGACCGCCTAATCCTATGTGAACATATCTTCGTCAAGAAAATATACGCTACCGTGACAATAAGGAAACCAGACACATTATCTACGACCTATTCATTTCGATCTTAAGCAACCGTACTCAGTGTTGCATACACACTTTTTTTCTGACGAGCCCCGGTACAAACTTGCTAGTGAGGCTCTAAAAAATAATACATGTACCAGTTTTACATTTTTGCTTTCATGTTAGCACAACGAGCTCAGTCTTGTACACATGTTTTGTAAGGAACCGAAATATAGCCAAGTACTCCTGTAACTTCATGTTCTGAATGTTATTCTCATGGTAAAAAACATCATATTAATGAATGAAAATCTTTGTTTTGCAGTTTAAAAAGGTACTTACTCCATTTAGCAGGACAGCAAAGTACGCAATTAATTCCTGAGTTTTTGCGAAATTTTGTTGGTGCACGCTGTCTGATACCACGTGGACCTCCACAGCAAACCGGTCAAAGTCTAATGCTCTTTTTGTAATCTTTCGCCAATTATTGCCATTACCTAGAAAACCAAGTTATAATTTTGTAATTTTCTTCGAAAGCAGTTTTCTCCCTTCTGCGTCATAAGTGTGGTGATTTCGTAGGACATCGAACACAATAAATAAAGCTTACGGGTACCTCATCTACTGTGCTGTGAAAAATGCATGAATTTTCTTGTCTGTAGTAAAGTTTGAGCCCTAAACTACATATCTTCAATTGTGTGGTTATGTATCTTGTGTTTTCTTTTCTTCAGCTGTCTTCAGATCCCGCTCGTACGGTCCCTATAGTTATGAATCGGCTGATGCCGACGCCCGTGTGCTCGCTCTCCAGGCGCCATTCTTGTCCCGTACCGCTCTGGACCTCAAAGCCAACACCACTAACACCTTAATGGAGGTCACACAGATCTACCAATTCGGCCATCGCTCCAATCCTGAATCCTGTAAGCGTCTCACGAAAATGGAGGAACAAATCTTCCGTCGCCTTTACACTAACACTCTCTTGTACCCGGCAATCGTCAAACATTTCGACTCCGCTTGCCCGGGGGAATTATCGCACTGCGAGAAAATTTCATTGACAATCTCCACACGGTGTGGGCATGCCAAAATACCTGCATTCTAACTCTATTGCCCAACCTTTCCCGGGAAGACTGGGAGGCAGCTTTGGTCGGCTGCTCTCACATGACGGCTCCACGGGCCTTGGTGGAGCGTGCCCAGGCTACGGCCTATGCCAGCGGGCTAACATACCAGGGAGACCACTTAGTGTTTGTACGGGGTGGACCCTTAAGGACCACTCCCTTTCTGTCGATGAATAGATGTTTTCAGTCAGTCAGTGTTTAAAACTATCGCGTGCCTTTTGTGGACATGTTTATTTCGTTGCTGCGAACGGGGGAGTTCAACGATTCTTTTAAAACGAGTGAGGCTGCTATATGCTAAAGTATTTCGAAAGCATTGTCTGATAAAAACACATTTCGCGTTCGGCAACGTGCTTGTGTTGAGGACATCACGTTACTTGCGAACATGCCATTACGTACCATTCAGGTTCTGCGTCAACATATCTTCGTTCCAAAGAAAACATTATGACAGCTTCGCACTAGTGGTGAGAAGCCTAAAAAAACTGCTGTGCTCATTGGCCTTCTGTGTTTATATTCAGTGATTTCTTTCTCTCCTTCACTTAGGCAACAATTTCCGGCGTGTTCTGTGTAGCGCCATTTATGCGGCTGATGCAGAGCGCGGAGCCAGATCTCTACCCGCCAACTAACGAAGCTGATCGGTTCCGTGAAGGGGAACGCGGAAGACCCGAGCACGGGAAAGAAAGGAGACTTCTTCGTTCGTACGGTTCACGAGCGGAGCCGTCGAGGTCACCCCCATCTGGGACTAGAAGGGGAAAACTCACTCGGAAGAGCGTCTTGAAAGAAGCAGGCCAAGCGCCGCCATCTGAGTTTAGGTCATTGTTGGCATACATGCGTCCCATTTGGAATGACGCAGGAACGCGACCACTGGGCTGTCCGAGACATGATGGCGGCACGCAGACGAGCTTATTTTCCCCCGCTATACGTCATTAGCGGCTGTTGTTAGCATGGCGGGGCGCTTCGCTGTCGCGTGCACACCTGGTCAGTGCACTGGGCCTCACGGTGTACTCTCCGCGATTAAGGAGGCTTATAATAAGCAACGCGTAATGAGAAAGCTGATGGAGCTTGAGCGTGAAAACGGCTATCGGCGGAGGTCGTCGGATGCACGTCCTGGCATGGGAGAGAGCGTGGCACGTGGAGAACCTATCCCTTTGCGTGTTTTATTTAGCAACGTGGTTTTTACTAATGAAGTGTCTGTTATGAAAGTGTTTCAGTAATTGGTTGTGATGATGCGAGCCCCAACGTTTGATTGGCTTGTGTGAAGACCATGTGTTCAACCCATGGTTGAAAGAGGATGTTTGAATCTGAAATGAAGAGTGGAGGTACGGGCTTGGACTCGGGCAGACGCCTGAGGCTGAAATGAAGCGTCTCTTCACCGGACGATGGCTCTTCCTTCGCGCTGCCATCGTGCACTCGAGTCATCGAAGGGACCTGTTCCGAACCTCAATTATCTTGTCTCCTTCGCTAGTGTAAAAACTAGTCGAGGAGGAGGAAATAGACTCCTTCCTTATTTCTTTCTTTTTTTTTCATTTTCGCCTTTGGTTTTGCTGTATTGTTTGTATATCTATTTCTATATATTCTTTCTCACTCCATATTGTTTATTTTTTTCTACTTTTCCTCTTATACCGGTCACTGGTAACTGTCCTAAAGCAAAATGCGCAGTGTTTCACTCTCACAAAAACTCATCGATACTATATTTTTAACCTAACACTGAATGACGCTGATATCATCAAGTTAGGTTTTTTATATACTTCGGCGTCATTTTTGATGAGAATTTCCATTAACATGAGCAACTACGTAGTGTATGCACAAGAGTAACCATGCTAAACTTTATTAAATACTAGGCAATATTTCCAGTGAACTGTGCTTTGTAGACTCTGCTTTCAATTGTTTAACAATTTTATAGGTTGCTTCCTGGAATCTTGGTGTGTGGTGTACAAGAGATGCCTAAAAACTTTTAAATGAATTCAGAACCATACAATGAGTGTCATAAGCCAAGGGCAATCAGTAAGCGATATTTTTCAGTCCCAACGCGCTATCTCAGTTCTAATATTGCGCAACTGCCAAGCAGCTGTTTCAATAAAGAATATATATAGTTTATAAAAATAACCTCTGTCTCCAGATCTTGTTTCTATTCATATGGACAGTAGATGACATGCTTGGAATGGTAGTTTCATACTGTGCAATTGCTAAAATGTTTATAAAGAAAGACTCAAAGAATTCATTGGAACAAGAACACGGATTTCCAAGAGCATAAAAGTGCACGTAATGTTGGCCTAGCATGCAACAGTTTTTTTCTTCTATCTAATGAAGCGTCATCTCCTTATGTGTATGTATGTTTTACTGGTATTTCGTTCTATTCTTTTTTATATGAAGGCCTATTTCTGACAAGCTAGTTATGTGATAAGAAGTATACAAGTTGAGAAGAAAAAGTATATACGTGTATTTTCTGTATTTATGTTAATGTTTTCGTTTCTTTCCTCGTAGCTGATCTGCACACAGTATGTTGCACATTGTGTTGGACCCGTCGCTAGCCACTTCAGGCTATCCGTTCAAATAATCGTTGGTTTTTATTAGTATTTAAATAAAAATAAAGTTACCCTTATTGATCAATTGAATGATTCTTTTCTCAATCCACTGTATTTATTACTAGCCTTCTGTTTTTCGTCCTTTTTTCTATATTTCCCTTTTAATGACACTTGCTGTTTCTTTTCTCATTTGTGCTCCCCGATTTCAGATTTCTCATTCTGTGCATGTTTGTTTCAGAATCTCCCATTATCTTCTTACCATGAAGTCATTTTAGGTCGAGGTCAACCAAAGCTCTGCTCCCGTACTACCATCACGGAAGTGATGTTGAAAAATTTTTTACTAAGAAATCGCAAAGAAAAAAAACAGAAGCCAATCATTTACAGCGTAGAATCAAACCAGCAGCTTCTCGATACCCAGAGCGTGACGCTAACAACTAGAAAACAAAACGTACTTGGTCGAGGGTGCCCTTGGCAAGCCATTTATATACACCATACATCGTTTGAAAGTCCACAAAGCTTCAAAACTTTAGGCCGTTTTTGCTTTTGCTATCTCTAGCGAGATGGCACGACATGCTCGCGTTGGGCGAGCTCAAAAGGTCATCACCTGCTCGAAGCGCCACCTCCACGGAGCGTGGTCTGTCCTGCGCGCCGCTTGTCAAACTCGTAATTGGGGAGAAGACGAAGGTCCCTCTGTACGCTGCCGCAGCCGCGTTTACCAAAGAAGCATGCTGCTGACAAACGACTCAAGAAAAAATGAGACAGTTGTTCACTTTGCTCCTGTTTAAGCTTGTGCACTGGTTGTTTGTGCCTTTCGGTTTGAACAGCGCTCTTTACGTGTCGAGCTGTGGATGTTGTTATTCCGCGCTTATTATGTGTACACTCATTTCGTACGTGCTTTCTGCTTGAGGTGTGCGTTTGAAGTTTGAAGGCGCTTGCAGTTCCTAACGTGATTCCAAAATTGGTTAGTGTTGCTGAAACAATGAATAATAAATGCTCAAGTAGCTCTGTAAAGTCACGTTTCACTTTCGCCTTATACCGATTCCAATATAGTAGGGCCAGTCACGTTTTAGGGGCGAAGCTCCTTAAAGCGGCACTCGTTCGTCCCTCGTAGTCATAGTCGTAGTGTATACCAAGTGTTACATTTTGATCTGCAAGGTGGTGCCGGTGGGAGATTTCTCCTGTGCTTTGTTGAAATTTAAAAGTTCGTGGCGTGCGCGTTAACTGAAAGCCGAATGCTCCTGTCTCTCATTCCCCATTAGCAGCCATTGGCCTGTATATTAAGCACAATGTGACAGGAAAAGGTTGCTATGTTATACTCCGTGGGCGTGAACTCCTTGGTTTTAGAAAGGTTTAGCGAGCGTTGGGCCACAGTTCCACGAATACAGTGAACTAGTATATATCATGAACTGAAGGTGGTTAAAGGTGGGAAGTAGACCCGAAGTGCAAGCCGTAAGAAAGTGTGCGTGTGCCACCTCTTGTTTAATCCTTGGAATGTCCGCTGGATGGAGGTGCTTCTGTATGGGAATATATGATGAAAAGATGCGAGAGGGTGGTACTTCCAGTGTTGAATAGATGGATGAATGGACACACAGACAGATGCATGGATGGACACATGAACGGACGCAGGGGCGGATACATGGACAAACGCAGGGATGTACGCACGAACAGACGCACGCACCGACGGGCGGATTAACGCACGGACAGTCACACAGAAGGACGCATGGATGGACGGAAGCAAGAACGATTTCGTGGATGAATGCTTCGCCCCACTCTTCATCATTCACTCCGTGGATATGCTGCCATTTTTTTTCATCTACTCGTCCTCACAACTCTCACTCTCTTCGTTTTCACCATTTGCCTCTTGTTTTTTAACTCTCTTTTATGCGATTTCAACGTTTTTTTCTCATTTTAATGTTTATTTCCGTATCTCGTTTTCTCGCTTACTATCTGCTCATTTCTATTTTTCTAGCCATTTCATTGATTTTTATTTTTCTATCGTTCTTTCTTGATTGATTGATTTGATTGATATGTCGGGTTTAACTTCCTAAAACCACCACATGATTATGAGAGGCGCCGTAGTAGAGGGCTTCGGAAATTTCGACCACCTGGGGTTCTTGAACGTGCACCCAAATCTGAGCACACGGGCCTACAGCGTTTCCGCCGCCATCGGAAATGCAGCCGCCGCAGCCGGGAATTGAACCCACGACCTGCGGGTCAGCAGCCGGGTACCTGAGCCACTACACCATCGCGGCGGGGCGGCTATCTTTCTTTCTGGTTGTCAGTTTGTAGTAGAGGCATTAAGACAACATGTTGTCTGTCAGCTTGTTACAAAAGCACTGTGTACATACTATTTTGTAGCAGCTGAGCTAAATTCGGTGACGTGTGTTCCTGCAATAAGGCATCGATTAGCCGAAATCGTATGGTGACTAAACAGAAACCCACACTCTGACAGATTCTATCACAATGTAATGGTGTAATAGTGTATTTTGGGGACACTTCTATATTGATATTAGTATACAGCAAAAATTTATTGCTACCTGCGTATACATACCGGCAGCTTATTGCACATGTATTATAGGGTACGATACCAGTAAAAGTGTATGTATGCGGGACGAACAACTGCATAGTCAGCACAAAAAAACGAATAAACATTTACTCATTGTGATGGGAATGTTCTTCGGTTCTTCAACCTCGTATATCCGATGAGGTATTTCACCTCTGTGAGAACGTTTGCTTGCTGAAACCGGTTTTATCCTTAGATTGTGATTTATGATACCTTCCTGTGAAAGGTGATAATCAGATCAAAACTTCATGTTAGATTTGTTGAGCAACTCGAGAGCTCACATAAACAACTAGCTCTTCGTTAAAACTTTTGTGGTACGCTAGAAGCTCGAATCTCAATTTCGAACTTCAACACCTCATAACATTGTCCCAGTACTACGCACTATATCATCTACTAGAATATTGCAGCTTAAGTCTTTAAGGAATCAGTAAAATATACTCAGTAGCAGCTGTGACCTACCCTGATGCCATTTTAATATAACTGCAGTGTGATTTGAAGCACCATCCGAGGTGCATGGATGGTGCTCAGATCTGTGATACCATTACTAATGGCACTTGATATCATTTATTATTGCTTCAGTATTTATTAAGTCATATAATGTGTGCGTTTTTACTGCTATACTTATGCCCAATGAAACGCAATGAAAAATATGCTAAATTTATAACAGTCTTCATACAAATTCGAATGTAAGTTTTACGTTATTCGGTTGTCTTGCAATGAGACTGCTCACGGCTAAGAGTTTGATTGTATTTTACTAAATGGGAATAACTTCTAAAGAACTGATCGCTTAATTGAGCAGCCCTAAGTGTAACCTTATAGTCGGTTATATTCACCCATACGTTGGTTGAAGGGTCATTTTTTCGAAAACATGGATAAATAAAGTTCGCATAAAAAGCCGCGTCATATTACATACAAGTTACAGAAAATTCTAGCGTAAAAAGCTCTATATTCAAGCGATAAGAATAGCTTACTACTTCGGCTTCACCATCTCTTGCACGTACGATCACAGAAGATTGATGGTGTAGATCATGGTACAAACTAGCTTGAATGTCAGACGTATTGACCTGAAAAAGAGAAAAGAGACAGCTACGTACGAAAAATGATGAGGACTATGCAACGTATAGGCTAAGTTTAGAGTGATAAATACGAGTTTCAAAAGCATTTACACTGTAGAGAACGTTGCATCGAATAGAGCATGCCTTGTTTCTTTGATTTCGGGCTGATCCATTCAGCATAGGCAAATGCATTTACGTAGGGGTACCACAAACGCCAAAGAAAATTGGGCTGTTAGGTGTACATTCTTTGTTCTGGAACTTTTTCTCTTTTCGCTGTTTCATTTGAGCTGAAAGACCACCATACTAGCCATTCTTGAGATACCTGTATCTTGCGTTACACTAGGAAAAGATTAGTTCTTTTAAAGGTGGAAAAAGAGAAAGCGGACATCACGCACGCAAAAGTAACCGAACTCACAGTCATGATATCACCGTTATTCAATTATCAACGGTGCAAGGTTTATATCATCGTAATTTCAGTTCTGCCTTACTGCGATGTCGCCTGATGACGACACTCCAGCATTGTTCTTGCCGGGATCATTAACTGCAATTTTTACATATATTACAACACACTATTTACGTACCAACTCCAGCTGGTTTCCTTCTAGAGTGCTTGTGGCCACCAGTAATTCGTCCGCCAATACTGAACTTCTTTTTAGGTTGAGAGTAATATCCTGATTCAGCTGTAGAACGAGGTTCGAAGCTGTCGTCCGCTCGTTCAGAATTCTCGGGTATACGAAAAATTGACTTCCTGTAATTTTCAACAACACGAGCAAAAAGAAGCTTATTGATGACAGAAAAGATCAAATAAAGGTGAGGGGTCTCTAACAAAGCTTTAGTGGTTTCTATTTCTGTAAAGATATACGTCCTCATGGTCGCGATTCATGGCATGAAATCAGCTTGTAATGAATGGTATGAAAGTAGCGTTATGTAATGGTTAAGGTGGCCTATGTAGCATACGTATATCCTATAAGGGTGTACCTCTGAAATGCTTAGCACGCACAAAAGGTTTAAAACAGCCTTGTAGATGTTAGTTGATGTCCCTTGTGTTAAAATATTATGGTTGAACGACTTGTGAGCGATAAAGTTTAGTAGTAACTCACAGTCTGAAACAGTGTTCATCTACAAAAAGTGAATTTATTATTCATAAACAATATTGTTAATAAACCATATTACTATGACAATTGTGTATTTCCAGGGCTAAATTTACGGGTTGAAAACACTTAAAAGAAGTTACCTGCAAAATTGATGACAGCGAGATTTGCGAAGACAACGAAAACAAAAAGTAACATTGTCAACCTGAATGCATCAGAAATCCGATGTACTTCTACTAAACACCTTTTCGATAAGCAAAAACCTTAGTCACTTCTTATATATATATGCGGTGAGCGCTTACATCTATATGAAATGTCTCGATAACTTGAGTAGGTCAACAGTTGTTAAACAGTGACAGAGTGCAAACCTTTCGTACGAAGGAGATGCTAAGAAATTGCGTACGAGGTGCAACAGAGAGCAGGTGAGGTGGGGTTGCGTGTATTGTGTTCCTCTGGCTACATTTGATATCAAACAGGACCTTTTTTAGCGGTGTGACTCATGGTATGGCGAAACATACATTGCAGAAAAAGTGTATATTTCTTTCCTTTGGCGACTTATTATGCAAAAATGCGAACTAAATCCTGGAAAAAACTTTGTCTATTTGAGATAGGTATTGTATGCTACCTAGGCTCAAGCAGATCTTTACTGTGTAAACATTCAAAAAAGCAGAAAAGGGCACACCTTTCTCTTTGAAGGCAGACATCTAGTAACCTTCCTTAGTTACCGCGAATGTTCGCTCTTACAAGACTGACACAGTTCGCGTAAAAGTAACATTCGCAAGTATACATCACCTTGCGTCTGAATTGCGTGCTTCTCACAAACATTGAGATAACGTGGGGCACCAGGTACTGGGCGCTCTGGCCCTCTATGCATGCAATGATCGAAAAAGGGGACAACGAATTTAATTGCCTGAGCATTTATGGGCGAAGCTCCTTATGGTCGAGGCTTGTTCTCCCATCAGCGTGGCCAGCCTCTAGTACTCGTAGCGCTCACTGGGTGTGTTACTGCGTTCTCACTTCTACTCCTAATGAAGACCCTTAGATGGCTCTGCAGTGCTGGAACGTACATTGAACACGCAAATTTTTGTAGTAGAGCTTAGACTTTCTCTTTTTCGTAGGGCAGGGCTCGAGTTTTGTAATTATCGAGTGAGACAAGTTATAGGGACAATCGGTGTCGGAAAGACATGGTTAAAAAGACTGTAAAGTGTTCAGGATGTGTGGTTGCTTTGAAAGTGGACCCAAAAGTAGAAGCGGAAGGAAAAGAGGCTGACGCGAAGTGTAGGCAAAGTGAGGTCAAGGAAAAATGGAGAAAATGATGGTTACCCAGAGTGACCTGCTGAGGAGAATCACCGAGCTCGAGAGGCAACGTGAAGTCGAGGAAAAATTGGAGAAAATGTTGGTTACCCAGAGTGACCTGCTGATGAGGACTACTGAGCTCAAGACTCAGAGAAAACGAGGGCTATGGGAGAAAGGCTGAAGTCTGCCGAGGAAGCACTAGCCAAGGTGAACAGAGGAGCGGCCTATGGAGAGAACAGTAGGAAGCTGGAAACCAGAACGGCGGAGAAGAAAGAGCAAGCAAGTTTGAAAAAGACAGGTTCAGCCGCTTCAATCGTCGCAAGGCCCAGCTTCAGCGAAGTAGTGGTGGGGCTGGGAGGGGACAAAGCAGCCGGCGTCAAAGGTACAAGTAACCCCCAGGTGCAGAACGCTCCAGCTGAAAAGTCACAGCGTGTGATAATCGCCGGGGACTCGAATTTAAATCGATGCACAGAAGCCATAAAAGAGAGGGTAAGAGGTGACAAGAAGGTTGCAGTAGGGGCGTTCCCAGGACGCGAGCTGGAAGCAGTCATGAGGCAAATTAGCGCAAAACTCAAAACTACAGCTGATAGACGAAACTTCGTGATAATTTCAGGCGGTTTAAACGTTGTCTTAAATGAAGATACAGGAGGACTAGCAACCACACTGGCGAAAGGCGTCGATGATATGTGCACCACCTCTCCTCAGGTACAGGTAGCGATATGCACGATACCGGAGGTACCGGTGCGTGATAGCAACCTGCAAAGAGCGGTTGTCAACGCAAACTAAGAGATATGGCGGATGAGTCGAGAGAAAGGCTTTGAGGTGGTGGAAATAAACAGAGAGGTGCATAGGTGGAGTGGTTTTCAACGAGACAAAATTCACTTTCGTGGGCGGCTAGGTCATGAGGTGGGTTGGCGACTCGCAGGACGCGCAGTAGCTTTTTTGGGAGGCAAGCGGGCCCTTCGGCGAGCAGGATAGCTAGTAACGAGGAAAACAGCCAGGGAGACTCTTTGACAGGTGGTATGGACAGATACGATTCCAAAGTGGCACCAGTATCTAAATAGGTTGAGTCCGGGACAGAAATACACATGTAGCCACGAGCGCCGAGCAAATTCAGACATAGGGTATATTATTATGCAGGGTGGTAGGAACAGGCTGAAGTGGGAAGAGATAGAAGAACAGCTAAGAAAGGAGAGGCCGATTGTATACGGTTTTGTAGAAACACATTTCAGGGACATTGAACAACCTCCTAACAAAGAGGACTACGCGCGGGAATATTGTAATAAACAGAAGGCAGCAGAAAGGGGGGTGGTATTGGGGCATTCATTCATAAAAACAACAGACTGGCAAAAGGTCAAGCTGGAGTGCAAGGAACATTTGTGGCTGAAAGGTAAAGTGGCTGGGCAAATGACAATCCTTGGTTTCGTGTACCTGTGGACGAGAGCATAGGCCAGAGATTGATTTGATTGATATGTAGGGTTTAACATCCCAAAACCACTATATGATTATGAGAGACGCCGTAGTGGAGGGCTCCGGAAATTTAGACCACCTAGGGTTCTTTAACGTGCACCCAAATCTGAGCACACGGGCCTACAACATTTGCACCTCCATCGGAAATGCAGCCGCCGCAGCCGGGATTCGAACCCGCGCCCTGCGGTTCAGCGGCCGAGTACCTTAGCCACTAGACCACCGTGGCGGGGCAGCAAAGGCCAGAGAGAAAAACCAGGCAATAGTAGAGTGTATATCAAATGACATTCAGGAGTTAGGAGGAGAGTACCAGATATTTATACTAGGATATATGAATGCGCACATAGAAGATATAGATGGGTATACCGACCCGACAGGCAAAATAATCATGGATATGTGTGAAAGGCTTGATTTGATCATTTGCAACACTACCGCGAAGTGTGAAGGGAATTAACAAGGGGGTAAGAAGGCTGCAGTCGACGATAGATTACGCACTGATGTCACATAGGATGTATGATAAGCTCAGGGGAATGCACATAGCTAAAGGTGGCTCCAGAAGTCTGGGTAGTGATCACAAACGTATCAAAGTAAGTTTTGAAAAAGCTGTGAAAATGGGAAGGAGACAAGATGAGCAACTACAAGAAAATTTTTATTCAGAAAGGCAAATAGAAATTGTTACTAAACAAGTTGAGAAAGTAATCACTGAGGATAATAAAACAGCGTAGACATACACGAATCTAATTAGACTGTTTGAGCTAGAGCTTGCTAAGGCACGTGACAAGTCACCCCGGAAAAGAAGACACCAACACGAAAGTTGTGGAATGAGGAAGTTAAGGGAGCCATAGAAAAACGCAAGGAAGCCTCAAGGGAACACAGACATGCTAAATAGCGGGGTGAACCGACAGATGATGTTGAAAGAAAATGGGAAATCTTTCTAAGCTGTAGAAGGGATGCCCTTGTGATCAATGAAAAGATTAGAAGAAAGGGAGCTCAGTGGCTGGCAAAAGTACATAAAAAAGATAGAAAGGCAGCTGCAAAATTTTGGAACCATCTAAACTCCCTAAGAAAGGAGACGAGCCTAGAACAGAGGTTTATAACTACAGCTCAAGGTGCTAGGCTAGAAGGGGACGAAGCTATTGAATATATAAAAACAAGGGTGACAAAAAAATTTCAACGAAGAAGTGCTTTATGCACCACAATAGACAAGGACGAATCAAGTGGTGCAATGGCTCCATTCTCACAACGAGAGTGGGAAAGGGCTGAGGAAAGGGTTCCTAGTAGTACATCAACAGGCCAGATGGCATTCCAATTATGCTGATAAAGACATTAAGTCCGAAGTCTAAGCAGGCTTTGAGGGAGTCAGTAAGCAAAATAATAATCAATGGAGAAGTTCCCGATGGATGGAAACTTAGCAGGCTGGGCATGATCTATAAAGAAAAGGGGGACAAAGCTGGCATAAACAACTACCGTCCTATAATAGTGACATCAGTGGTCTACAGGCTGGCGATGCAGATTATAAAGGAAAGACTGCAGGCATGGATAGAGGATGAGAGGGTGCTGGGGGAACTGCAGAATGGGTTTCGGAAACACAGGAGGCTGGAAGACAATCTGTTTTCACTGACGCAGTGCATCGAAATAGCAGAAAAGGAACACACGCCCCTGTGGCTACCATTTTTGGATATCAAGGGAGCGTACGATAGCATGGTTCAAGAGGAATTGTGGGGAATACTGGACACACTAAGCGTGGAAGATGTAGTCACTTATCTTTTAAAGGACATCGATAAAGGTAACAAGGTAATTAGAAAGTCGCAAAAACAGGTATTCAAGCCTGCAGAGGTAAAACGTGGACTTAGGCAGGGGTGTCCCCTGTCGCCCTTAATATTCATGATGTACCTGCAAAGATTAGAGGCCACATTAGGAGAAAGTGGACTGGGCTTCAACCTCTCTTTCGTCAAACAAGGAAAACTCATTGAACAGGCACTACCAGCATTGATGTACGCAGATTATACAGTGCTAATGGCCGACAACAAGGAAGATTTGCAGAGATTGGTTGACATCTGCGGTAATTAGGGAGATAGGTTAGATTTTAGATTCAGTAAAGAAAATCAGCAGTCATGATTTTTAATGACAATGAAGGTTGTGAGCTTAGAATACAGGAGGTCACGCTGGAGGTAACAGATAAACACAAATATCTGGGCGTGTGGATAAGCAATGGTGCCGGGTACCTAAGAGAACACGAAATATACATGTCGACTAAAGGTAACAGGAATGCAGTGGTAATGAAAAACAGGACAATGTGGAATTACAATGGGTATGATGTTGTGAGAGGAGTATGGAAAGGCGTCATGGTTCCTGGTCTGCGTTCGGCAATGAGGTCTTGTGCATGAGATCAGAAGTTCAAGCAAGATTAGAAATTAAGCAACGTGGAATAGGTAGGCTTGCCTTAGGAGCTCACGGGAATACACTAAATCAG